GCGAAGCGGTTAAAACTCCGTTGTGATTCCCAACTCGTGGTTAACCAAGTTGCAGGGACTTTCTGGATCAAATAACAAAGATTGCAAAAATACCAGATCGAGATCTGTAAGCTGTTGCCCGAGTTCAATGATTGTCAGCTCGACCTGATCCCGCGTGCACAGAATACCGATGCAGACAACCTCACCAAGTTGGCTGCAGCTACCAAAAGCATCGCGAGCGGAGATAAAAGTATAGTCCACCTCCTCAACTTGTCACTAGACCAAATTGAGGTAAGAACCGTAATGTTAGCTTGGGATTGGTGCATTCTTATTATCGCCTATTTGCAGGACGACAAACTCCCAAACGACAAAAAAGAAGCCAAGAAACTATGAATACAAGCAGCCATATACAGTCTCCTCCATAGCGACCTATACAAGAGGACTTACGGCGGCCCTCCAGCAAAATGCTTGGGCCCAAACCAGATCCAGCGCGTCCTCGAAGAAGTCCATGAAGGCCATTGCGGTGCTCGCTCCGGCAACCGAGCACTCGTCAGATGCCTCATACAGGTAGGATACTATTAGCCCACCATGAAAAAGAACGCCTTAGGTTTCATGAGAAAATGTGAACAATGTCAAAAGTACGCCCCAATGATTCACCAAGCATGCGAACACCTCCATTCGGTCACCTCCCCATGGTCGTTCATCAAATAGAGAATGGATATCGTGGGCCCCTTCCTAGAAAGGCGAAGTGATGTACGATTCCTTTTGATTTTAACTGACTAATTCTCTGAATGGGTGGAAGTAGGAGCCCTGAATAAAGAGTGGGCGAACAAGATACAAAACATATCATAAATGTTGAATTCTAAGAAAGAGGGGGGGGGGGGGGGAATAGGTAATGTTGCACCAATGCCCAACCAAAGGGCGACTGGGATACCAATCAAAAAGACAGTCGTCGCTACTGGAGGGCAAAATGGATAGGTTTTGGGTCTTCAGAGTAGTTCTTGTCTATGATCCCTTGAAAAAAGTCCTAAGTTGAGCCAGTTTTCGCCCCTGACAAAGGACTTTCCCTGGGTTGGGACTGTTTGGACAGGACTAGTTGCTTCGATTCCACTCACGTCAGCTCATAACTTCGAGGTAATGTACGATTCCTTTTGATTTTAACTGATTATTTCTCTGAATGGGTGGAAGTAGGAGCGTTCGACCAAATACGAGAACAAGAGGTAATCACCTTTATATGAACGAACATCATCTGCCGATTCGACCTACCTAAAGAGATCAGGTGAGACAACGGACCCCAGTTTACGAGAAAGAAAACCATCGAATTCTTCGAGAAATGGCATATCGGGAAGATACTATCGACCCCGTATCACCCAGCGGGTAATGGACAAGCAGATTCCTCCAACAAGTCCATATTAAACATCATGAAGAAAAATCTCGAAGACGCCAAGGGACTGTGGCCAATGATACTGCCAGAAGTATTATGGGCGTATAAAACTACCCCAAAGACGAGCACAGGAGAGACGCACTACTCTTTGGTCTACGGGACCAAAGCAGTTATACCAGTCGAAGTCGGGGAGCCCAGCCTAAGATACTCCCACGAAAGCAGTACTAGTAATGATGAGAGAACAAGACAGGAACTCGATGAAACTGATGAACAAAGAGATATGGCGTACATCAGGATGGTTGCCCACATGTAGCAAGCAGAACGTTATTAAAAAAAAGAAAGCAAAGGCCCGACCGCTCAAAGTCCGGGACTACATACTCAAGGAAAAAACTCAAGCGAGCAACGACTCACGAGAAGGCAAGCTGGGACGGTCCGTATAAAATCATAGCCAAAGCAAACAAGGGTTCATTCCAATTAGAGACAATGGAAGGCAAGCAATTACCAAACAATTGGAAAATCAGCCACCTCAAATACTTAAACTTCTAAGAGAAAAAGTGTCCCCCAAGCCGCACTCTTTTTCCCTCACTTGAGTTTTGTCCCATTAGGATTTTCTCAAGGAGGTTTTTAATGAGGCGGGCAAAAGGAACACTTCGAGTCGAAGTATGCGAGGGAGGGACTATTTTTTCTCTTTCATTGTCCGACTCCTCAATACTCTCCAAGTCAAGAAGGGGCTAGATAGACTGGGACTAGGGACTGAAACGCCAACCAATGCCCAAAAAATTTGTAACTCTCTCTAATCATGTAATCAGAGCAACAACATCAAAGAAATAAGAAACTTACGTTCATCATAAACACCTATCGGCCCTCAGTCACGATTATGAAAAGGTTATGTTCGACCCCGCTCAAAAAACACCTATCGGCCCTCGGCCACGACTATGAAAAGGTTATATTCGACCCCGCTCGAACAACACCTATCGGCCCTCGGCCATGACTATGAAAAGGTTATGTTCGACCCTGCTCGAGCAACACCTATTGGCCCTCGGCCACGACAATGAAAAGGTTATATTCGACTCCACTTGAACAACACCTATCGGCCCTCGGCCACGACTATGAAAAGGTTTTGTTCCACCCCGCTCGAACAACACCTATCGGCCCTCGGCCACGACTATGAAAAGGTTTTGTTCAACCCCGCTCGAACAACACATATCGCCCCTCGGCCACGACTATGAAAAGGTTAAGTTCAACCCGCTCGAACAACACCAATCGACTCTCGGCCACAAATAAGACAATGTCACGTTCGTACCCACTCGAACAACACCTACCGACCCTCGGCCAAGATTAATAAAAGGATAAGTTCGACCAAGTTCGAACAACACCTACCGGACCTCGATCGAGATTAATAAAAGATAAACTCGACCAAATACGAACAACACCTACCGGCCCTCGGCCGCGATTTAAAGAGGTATTGATTCGACCAAGTTTGAATAATGCCTATTAATCCTCGGCCTCGTTCCGATAAACATTGATACATACAAGGACAACGACAAAAGCATGAAGGAGCAAAACGCGCGAAGTACAGAAATAAACCACAGCAAATAAGAAAGGTGCAAATAAAAGCAAAAGCCAACTCCGATATTATAAATAAAGGTTTCTTACAAAGGCTCTTAAAGACGCCAGAAAAAATACACAAAAACTTCAGAAAAAGCAAAAAAGAACTACTGTTGATCACTACTATCACGACCCTCAACGCCCTCTCCATCCTTGCCCCGAGGATACATGGAATCATACCAGGCCTCATCCTCGAGGGGATCTACAGCATCCTCACCGTACTTTGAACAAATCTAATTGGGTGAGCCAAAAATAATATTTTTTGGTCAAATATGGTCATTTCAAAAGAGAACTACCGGTGGATTAAGAATAAGAAATTTAATGGCATAACACCTTGTTACCCCTTTAAACTTGACATGATTTATTCATTGCACACTTAAACCTTTTCGGTCCTAATTAATATTAAAAAAAATTATATAGCTGATCCCAAAATAATAGTCGCGAAATATATATATATTTTATATTAATGTATAATATACTTGTTTTATGCATAATATATATGTGTGTGTGTGTATATATATATATATATATTCTTTTTAATTTTTTTTTCTTCAAAAATGTGTTTGTCCATGAAATTTTGTAAGTTTTTGAAAAAATTTCGAAAATGAGTTTTTTAAAAATTCAAATTTTTAGAATAACTTTTTTTCTCACTTACAAAACTGCAACATTTTTTCTAGTGAAATGCATGTTCAAATATAATTTCAAATTCCAAACACTTTTTTATAACTTAACTTCAAATACTATTTTTTTTTTTCAAAAATTACAATTTTTATGTCCAAACGGCTACTAATAGTAACTCATTTAGAGAAGAGGTAAGTGAAGTTTAGTCAAATAACTTTTTTAATGAGTAAGTCAAAAAATTGAAACGACACATAAAAAGAAGAGGGAGAAATAATTTTAATTTTAATTTATCACAGAAATATGATAATTTTAAGTATTTTTTTAGTTATTACTATTTCATGTTTTTCCAATTTAGGCGACATACCTTCACTTTTAGTGTGTTCTTACAAGAATATTAGTATGACGTGAACAATCTAACTTAAAAATTTTTATTTATTTTTACTGAAATAATTTATAGTAACATAAATATCCATAGATTTTTCAAAGATCATAAGACACGAGTATTAAAAATCTTTTTTCATTGTAAATTTTGTATCAAATCTGTCACATAAATTGGTTACTATACTATTAGTCCGTTTGGCCAAACTGCAAAAATCAGCTTATTTTGAGAAGTGTTTTTTTTTTAAAAGTGCTTTTCTCAAAAATACTTTTGGTGAGAAGCAGTTTGTGTTTGGCTAATTAGTTTGAAAAGCAATTCTGAGCAGCAATTAGTTTTTGGCCAAGCTTTAAAAAACTGCTTCTAAGTGTATTTTTCTCAAAAGTGCTTCTCAAAAAAATGCTTTTGGAGAGAAACTAATGTTTTCTGCTTCTCCAAGACTGCTTCTGCTTCTCCTCAAAAGTACTTTTTTTCCTTCCAAAAGCTTGGCCATACACCTCAATTTTTGACCAAAAATAATTTTGGCGCGAAAAAAAAAAAAACAATTTTGACCAAAAAGAAGCTTGGCCAAACAGCCTAATATATGAAGCCTGTTGAAAAGTGTGCCTTTGCGTCCCCTCTATGCTTTTGACGACCCCTAGCTTCTCCTATAGCCCATTTGGCCAAGCTGCAAAAATCAGCTTATTTTGAGAAGTGTTTTTTTTCAAAAGTGCTTTTCTCAAAAGTACTTTTGGTGAGAAGCAGTTTGTGTTTGGCTAATTAGTTTGAAATGCACTTCTGAGCAGCAATTAGTGTTTGACCAAACTTTAAAAAACTGCTTCTAAGTGTAATTTTCTCAAAAGTGCTTCTCAAAAAAGTGTTTTTGGAGAGAAGCTACTTTTTTCTGCTTCTCCAAAACTGCTTCTGCTTCTCCTGAAAAGCACTTTTTTTCCTTCCAAAAGCTTGGCCAAACACCTCAATTTTTGGTCAAAAATGCTTTTGGCAAAAAAAAAGAACTTTTGGCCCAAAAATAAGCTTGGCCAAACAGCTCATTAGTCTCCTTCCTTTCCTTCTCTTCCAATTCCCAATTCTATTTCAACCTCTCTCAGAAACCCTAATTTCCCCTATAAACAATTAATTGCTCAATTGAGTTTCTCTATGATCCTTCCCAAGTCACTAGATATCAATTTAATTCAAATTTATTCTAATTAACAATCTCATATTGTTGATCCCAACTAGCTCGTATCAATGGCGAAACAATTCAACGTTCCGCCGGTAATCTTTCCCTCCGACGGAAACGCCGGCGCACAACAACGCCGTCCTCCGACAGCTCCATTTCAGCCGCCGAAATCTTCAAACCCTAGCATCCCTTTCATGTCCTTCGACGTTACCTCGGCGGCTGCTTCCACTTCATTTTCAACTCCGCATTTCGCCTCCACCACCTTCGGCAGCGGCGGCTCAACTGGCTTTGAAGATGAGCCGCCGTTACTAGAGGAACTCGGGATCAACACAAAGCAAATTTACCAAAAGACCCTGTCCATTCTCAACCCATTTAAAATCAAATCAGATCTTCATGAAGATGGTGACTTATCCGGGCCGTTTATATTTTTAATGTCATTTGGGCTTTTCCAATTACTAGCTGGAAAGATTCATTTTGGGATCATATTGGGCTGGGTTGTAATGGCTTCATTGTTTCTCTACGTAGTGTTTAATATGCTTGAGGGTCGAAATGGAAACTTGGATTTGTACAGATGTGTTAGCCTGATCGGTTATTGTATGTTACCCATTGTGATATTATCGGCGATTTCACTGTTTTTGCCCGGTGGATTGGTAATCAAGGTGTTGACGGGAGTTTTTGTTGTATGGGCCACGCGAGTTTGTACGAGGCTTTTGGTTGAGCTAGCTTCTTGTGGAGACGAGCATCGTGGGCTGATTGCGTATGCTTGTTTCTTGATTTACATGGTTTTCTCTTTGCTAGTTATATTTTGATGTATACAGAAAGGAATTAGATTAGAAATGCTGGTATTTTGCACCTTATATTTAATACTGTTTTTAGGTATTTTGGAGGCTTTAACTGTTGGGATTCAACTGTTGTTAGTTATTGAAAAGAGAATAGAAAAACTGAATTATGCCGTGTTAATTTCACGATGTCTCATTAATATCTCCCAGTTTGCTTGTTATACTTTTTAGAGGTTTAAAATTTAAGAGGCTCTGAACTTTTCGCCATGTATGCTGTTTCAAATTTTGTGCTTCCTAAAGAGGTTTGTGTAGCTTTTTTCTTTCTCTGGGATATGCAGATAAAGATGGTTAATTGGTCACGGTGGTCCGCAAATATCCTTAGTTTCCAAATTGATAGGCAAGTCTTTTTGAACTGTTCCATCTTCGTCTTTTCAATTTTCTGTATAAAAACGAAAAACTAGAATAATTTCAGTGGTGTTGCTGATATGTCTTGATGTTATGTATCCACTTTCCTTGGTTGATGTGAAGTCCGCAAAAGCAAAATGGTCTAATTGTTTTGTGAGGTATAAGTGAGCAAAGATAAGTAAAAGATAGCTCGAAAACCAGATGGAAGATATCTACTATGCTGCATGTTGATTGAGTTCTTAAGTACCATTTAATTGCGTACCTTCTTATCAGCATAGAGAGAGTAGGGTGATGGATCTGTGTCGCTCCTCCTCTTTATCCTGCATATCCTGATTGGTAGACTGTCTCACGATCAGATCATAGTGATGGTAAAGTGGCAGCGACTATCTTGATGAATAAAACGTATTAGACTGAGAATAATTTCTTGAAAGAAAGCAAATAGTATATTCCTTTTAAATAGGATCATGGAGCTATATGTTAGATCTGCTCACACAATTGTCTGATACTTAGATTTATCAACTACAAGTAAGTTCTTAGTCTGGATGTGGTCCAAATATTTGGATAAGTTGTTTTATAGATTGAATAGGTTAGGAGCAACTCCTGTTGTTGATAGTGCAAATCACTTTGAGTGTAGTCTATGTCAGAATAAAGTTAATTGTTTTAATAATGAGATGCAGACATTGATAAAGCAAAGTTTGTTTTCATTTAATATTTAAAAGAATTTCCCTGCTTTTCTGAGCAGGTTAGGAGGGCTGTATCGAATATCTGCTGTTCATGTTATAAGATCACAATTTCAGGGCTACATTGAAAATCTGCTGTTCTTATCATAAGATCCCAATTTCAGGGCTGCATTGAAATTCTGCTGTTCTTATAATAAGATACCCATTTCAGTTGTGAGATGTCATTGTGTATCATATAAGTAGGCTTGCAGAAAATACCTTATTTGATATATGCTGGTATACCTGCATTTACTGCTCTATCAAGGTGTCAAATGTGATCTAACAATGTTTGAAAGGGTCATTAGTAGTGGACTATGTTGCTCGGACTCTCCGTAAATTTTGCCGTGTGCGTGTCGGATCCTCCAAAAATAGTGTATTTTTGGAGGATCCGACACGGGTGCGGCATCATTTTGGAGAGTCCGTACAACATAGGTAGTGGTCAGTCAGCTTTATGAACTAACTATTTTTCAAGCTAGTTGGTTGAGCAATTCTGGATACATAAGTGTGTAATATTATTGAGAAAATTAGGTTGGACGAAATGCTATCATGAGTTGTTTCTTGGGTTCTCTCTTTTTTGGCTGTTGACTTATACTTCTTTGCTCGTTAATTTTGAACTTAATTTGGTGAAAAAAGGTCATCATGGTTTCAGTCTGTTTGCTGTCAAAAAGTTTAGCTCTGATCTTCTTTTGCTCATATATTTTTCCCTCTTTCTTTGACAAGTAGCTCTAAGATGAGTTAAATCTTTGGAATTTTGTTAAGCTTCATCGGAAGTCTGGGGGAAACTTTAATTACGGCCTTCATTTTTGTTTGGTCCATGCAGATTCTGCAATCTTTTAGCTGCAGTTGTTTCAAGTTATAATGTGATGGATGTTTTGAAATTCAATATCGTTATTGCCATTTTACTCTGTTATATATTATGTGGTTGAATTCCTGACAATAACGGATCACCAAGATATTTTCAGGATTTGTGGTTGAATTCCTGGCGATCCATCCGCAATAACTTTTTGTGTAAAAATTTACTAACATGTTTTTGCTTAAAAATTGATTCGAATCAATCAAATAACTCCAAATTTGATATACTCACTTTGTCAAACTCAATCCAACAATTTTAGATGGTCAGATTCAACACAAAATTTTTAAAAATTAATATATCCGTTTTGCTTAATCCAACATATGGAGATTCTAAGCCTCCGTGCTTGTTACGGCTTGTCGAGGAGTCTGAGCATTCGTCACAAGAATCTTGAACAAATTACACATTAGATGCGAGGTTCAACAAATCAGATTCCAGAGAAGAGAGAAAAATGAAGAGCTGAGCTCTGTTGCTTCATTAGAGATGGAAATTGAAGAAAGAGAAGTACTGTTACGTTGCTTAACCGCCTAACTATATACATGTGTCCTAATAACTCCCTAACTAATACACACGTGGGAGTTATGTGTGTGCTAATTAACTATTTTCTCAATAATAAGCTCCCCCTGGCTATTAATATTAACTGCTAATTACCCCTTACTAATATCTCACGTAATTCTCATTTCATCACTCCCCCTCAAGCTGGTGGGTGCAAAGATATTAAGAACTCCCAGCTTGCCAACCAAATACTCATGTTGTTGTCTTCCTAACCCTTTAGTCAGGACATCTGCTAGCTACTCCTTGGAAGGAATGTACTGAGTCCTTACAAGCCCTTCTTGTATCTTTTGTCAAATAAAATGACAGTCGATCTCTATGTGTTTTGTCCTTTCGTGGAACACATGATTTGCTGCTATTTGCATTGCAGCCTTGCTGTCGCTGAATATGTGTACTAGCAGTCTTACTTTTGCTCCCAACTCCCTCAGCATTGCTGTCAGCCATACTACTTCTGAAAGTCCACTTGCCACGCTTCTATACTCGGCTTCTGCAGAACTTTTAGAGATTGTGTTTTGTTTCTTTGATTTCCATGATATTGGAGACTCTCAAAATTTGACCAGGTACCCTGACACTGATTTTCTGGTGTTAGGGCATGAGGCCCAGTCAGCATCACAAAATATACTGATCTCACTTGACCTTTTACTGCTCAATAAAATTCCCAGACCTGGTTCCCTTTTGACATACCTTGCCACTCTTATAGCTGCATCCCAATGAGACTTCTTTGGTCGCTGCATGAATTGGCTAAGAGTTTGCACTGGAAATGCAATGTCAGGCCTAGACATGGTTAGGTATAACAACTTCCCAATCAGCCTTTGATATTGCCCTACATCTTCCAACATTTCATCCTCTGTTGATACCATAAGGCAGTCTAGTTCTGGGACTGTTAATTTGGCATTCGTCTCTAATGGAGTCCATGCTGGCTTTGCTCCACTCAATCCCAAGTCTGATATTATCTCCAATGCATACTTCCTCTGATTAACTAAAATCCCTTTGGCTGATCTGCTGAACTCCATGCCAAGGAAGAACTTTAGATCACCTAAATCTTTGATCTTGAAAGCTTGTTGCAAGAATATTTTGGTGTCTTCAATCAGCTCCAAGTTTTTCCTGTCACTAGCATATCATCAACATATATTAGTATGATCACTAAATCTGCTCCTTTCTTCTTGATGAACAAGGAATGATCTAGATTACTTTGCTTAAAATCAGCCTGTAGTAATGCCTCTGTGAGCTTCAAATTCCACTATCTGCTTGCTTGTTTCAATCCATAGAGAGATTTTACAAGTCTACACACCAATCTAGACTCCCCTGACTTGTAAAACCTTGTGGTAGATGCATGTACACTTCATCATTTAAATCTCCCTATAGGAAGGCATTGTAGACATCCAATTGTTGGACTGTCCAATTATGCATGGCTACTAAGAAAAGAATAGTTCTGACAGTGGTGATATTTACTACAGGAGAAAAGGTCTCATTGTAATCAATACCTTCTTTTTGATTGTATCCTTTAGCTACTAACCGTGCTTTGAATCTCTCCACATCTCCATTAGCCTTAAGCTTGACTTTATACACCCATTTACAGCCTATAGCTGTCTTTCCTTGAGGCAGCTGGACTAGTTCCCAGGTGTTGTTGTCTTGTAGAGCTTGAATCTCAACTTGCATGGCTTCTACCCATCTAGGGTCCTTAGAAGCTTCCTGAAAAGTAGTGGGCTCAACAACAGAAGAGAATGCTCCCAGGTAAGTCTGATATAAAGGTGATAGCCTAGCATATGAAACATAATTGTGTATGGGATATAAGGCGGAGTTCCCAGACTTCCTTGTAGTTACATAGTCTGTCAACCAGACTGGCTCTTTTGACTTGCTTTATGATCTTCGTAAGGAAGCAGGATGTGTTTGTCCTTCATGATGATTATGGAGAGATGTAGATGGTGTTTCTGAAGGTATTCCCACTGAGTCAGGAGGTGCAGATAAAGAGCCATCACTAGTGGTGTGCAGGTCTGGCTCAAAGTTATCTAAGGGCTGTGCAATATCATCTGTAGGAGTATCATGAATATGTAGCTGTTCAATGATTGGAACATTAGGCTCATCTGCATCTGTATCTTCAAGGACAAAAACATCAGTAATAACAGGCTGGATTTGGTTCCTAGGATCATCAGTTGATACTTGAAAAGGAAATGTAGATTCCTTGAATATCACATCTCTGTTGACAAAGAATCTATCCCCATCTAAGTCATACAGGACATATCCTTTAGTGACAGCAGAATACCCCATAAAAATAGCCCTCACTACTCTACTAGCAAACTTATCAGTTCTAGGCAAAACACTTGCAAAACAAAGACACCCTAATGTTTTCAAATGAGAAACTGATGGTTTCCTGTTAAAGAACACCTCATATGGGGACTTACCATCAAGTGACTGTGATGGCAGCCTGTTAATAACATAAGCTGTTGTTAAAATACAGTATCCCTAGAACTTCATAGGTATATGTCCTTGAAATTTGAGTGCCCTTGCAACTTCAAGCAAATGCCTATGCTTTCTCTCTGCTACACCATTTTGCTGTGGTGTATAAACACATGTCTTCTGATGAATTATCCCCATGGATGTGCATAGCTCCTGCATAGCTGAATTTACAAACTCTTCACCATTATCAGTTCTAATTGTTTGCACCTTTCCATTGAACTGTGTTTGTACCTGCTTA